AAAAAAAAAAAAAAAAAAGAAAATCCCTAGAATTTTAAAATATCCTTTGGTGCTTCTAGAAATTTATTCTAGAGAGAAGCTCTGAGAAGTAGGCAAACACAGTGAACATTATTATAGCACTGTGTATAGTCAGTCACCCACACCCACAAATGAAACCATATCTTCTACTGGAGATCTGATTAAGAATAAATTATGATCTGCCCATTTAATAGCATATTAAAATAGCTATTTAAAAAGTGCAGTTTGTACATGCTGATATTGAAAGATCTAAATATAGTATCGTTAAATGAACAAACTGTAATAAGTTGCAGACACTTATGGAAGGTATATTCACATTTTTAAAAAGGGAGTATGTATGTAAATGCCTGAAGGTGGGTACCATCATTCACACCTATAATCCTGGCAACTTGGGAGGCCAAGGCAGGAGGATAGCTTGAGTCCAAGAGCTTGAGACCAGCTTGGGCAACATAGTGAGACCCCCCATCTCTAAAACACACACACACACACGTATACAAATCAATACATCAATTCCTGATAATATATAACAAGAAAAGAACATCCAAGAAATAGAAACTGTGGTTGCGTCTGAGGCCTTAGAATTAGGACTGGGGGAGAAAGGATTTTCTGATTTCCCCCATTTCCTTCTAGCCTCCTTTGGATTTAAATACACACACACATATATGTACACATACATACGGATACCTACACATACACACACACATATATATGGCTAGGTGCAGTGGCTCACGCCTGTAATCCCAGCACTTTGGAAAGCTGAGGTGGGTGGATCAAGAGGTCAGGAGATTGAAACCATCCTGGCCAACACGGTGAAACCTCATCTCTACTAAAAATACAAAATATTAGCTGGGCGTGGTGGCAGGTGCCTGTAGTCCCAGCTACTTGGGAGGCCGAGGCAGGAGAATCACTTGAACCCAGGAGGTGGAGATTGCAGTGAGCCGAGATCACACCACTGCATTCCAGCCTGGGTGACAGAGCAAGAAAAAAGAAAGAAAAGAAAAGAGAAGACAAGAGAAAAGAAGGAAGGAAGGGAAGGAAGGAAGGAAGGAAAACAGAAGAGGGGTGTTGAAATTCCTCCCTGACTGATCCACTGAATATGTGAATATATTTTATTATTATCATTAACTTTGAGACACAGTCTCACTCCCAGGCTGGAATGCAGTGGCTCCATCTCTGCTCACTACAGCCTCCATCTCCTGGATTCAAGCGGTTCTCTGGCCTCGGCTCCCCCAAGTAGCTGATACTACAGGCGCGTGCCACCACACTTAGCTAAGTTTTTATATTTTTAGTAGAGACGGGGTTTCGCCATGTTGACCAGGCTGGTCTTGAACTCCTGACCTTAAGTGATCCACCTGCCTTGGCCTCTCAAAGTGCTGGAATTACAGGCGTGAGCCACCACATCTGGCTCTTTTTTATTTTCAATATGACAAAATACATGTAACACTAAACTACCTTAACCATTTTTTTTTTTTTTTTTTTTTTTTTTTAGTTTTTGGGTTTTTTTTTCCTTTTTTTTTTTTTTTTTTTTTTTTTTTGACAGAGTCGCGCTGTCACCCAGGCTGGAGTGCAGTGGTGCAATCTCAGCTCACTGCAACCTCCGCCTGCTGGGTTCATGCGATTCTTCTGCCTCAGCTTCCCAAGTACCTGGGATTACAGGCACATGCCACCACGCCCGGCTAATTTTTGTATTTTTAGTAGAGACAGGGTTTCACCATGTTGGCCAGGCTGGTCTGGAACTCTTGACCTCATGACCCACCTGCCTCAGCCTCCCAAAGTGCTGTGATTACAGGCGTGAGCCACCATGCCTGACCCAGTTCCTCACTCTTTAATCAACTGGACTTTGAGACTTAGAAATAATGATTTTGTTTTTGCTGCTGTATTTCATCGAGGGGTACAAGATTTGATTAAATTATGTTTTTAGGGCTGGGGGTAGCGGTTCACACCCGTAATCCCAGCACTCTGGGAGGCCGAGGTGGGTGGATCACTGAGAACAGGAGTTTGAGGCCAGTCTGACCAACATGGTGAAACCCTGTCTCTGCTAAAAATAAAAAAAATTAGCCGGGCATAGTGGTGGGCGCCTGTACTCCCAGCTACTCGGGAGGCTGAGGCAGGAGAATGGCTTGAATCCAGGAGGCAGAGATTGCAGGGAACCGAGGGCAACAAGAGTGAAACTCCATCTCCCCCCCACCAAAAAAAAGAAGGCCCTAGAGACAGTGGAACACTCCTGGTCCTTTTCTCTTGGCACAGCAGAAGATTCTGTCACTACATCTTTATTTACTGAGCACCTACTGTATGCTGCCCCTGGCATTGTTTTGTCTTGTTTTCTGTTTTGTTTTGTTTTGAGACAGGGTCTTGGTCTGTAGCCCTGGCTGAAGTGCCATGGCACCATCACAGCTCACTGCACTGGGCCCAAACAATTCCCCCCACCTCAGCCTCTGCCCTAGCTGGAGTTCCAGTGGTGCACCACCATGCCTGACTCATTTTAAAATTTTTTTTGTAGAGATGGGGTCTTGCTACATTGCCCAGCCTGGTCTTAAACTCCCAGACTCAAGTGATGCTCCTGCCTTGGCTTCCCAAAGTGCTGGGATTGTAGGCACGAGCCACTGTGCCTAGTACCAGGCATTGTTTGTAGTGACAAAAACACAAGAGGGAGGCCACTGTAAACACATGAAGACAGGCAGCGTAAGAGGATGTCACCAATAACATCCATGCATCCTCTAAAGCCCTGCTCAAGAACCCACTCCCAGGCTCCCTGCCTGGATCAGATCCTGTGATCAAGACCTCAACACGTCTTGGGTCTCTCTTCAGAATTATACATTTGCATTTGTTTGTGTGATTCTGGGCCTCCCTTATTTTCTTGAACAGACCTCATCTGGTTTGGTTCATCTGTATGTCTTCAGTATCCAGCACAATGCCTGGCATTAGGGTCATGGCTCCACAAAAATGTCATAAATGCTAGCCGGGGGCAGTAGCTCATGCTTTAATGCCAGCACTTTGGGAGGCTGAGGTGGACGTATCACCTGAGGTCAGGAGTTCAAGACCAGCCTGACCAACATGGAGAAACCCCGATTCTACTAAAAATACAAAATTAGTCTGGCGTGATGGTACATGCCTGTAATCCCAGCTGCTCAGGAGGCTGAGGCAGGAGGGGCACTAGAACCTGGAAGGCAGAGGTTGTGGTGAGCCGAGATCATGTCATTGCACTCCAGCCTAGGCAACAAGAGCAAAACTCTGTCTCAGAAAAAAAAAAGTCATGAACGCACGCAGAAGTGCATGCATGGATGAACAAATGAATGATGTGCAAAAAGAGAAGAGCAATTTCCCAGTCCTGGAAGCAGCTTCCTCTCAGGGTGGGGGTGGGGTACGGAGGCACAGACAGCCAGTGATGTCACAAGAGGTGGCTGGAATGGAAGGTTCTAGAAGGTTGAATGGGTTAGAAGGCCTGTTGTAGAGGGAAACCACCCATCCTTCTGCCTCCCACCACTACCATCACCCTAGCTGGACGAAAAGGGTGACGGGGGCTGGGAAGGAGCAGCTCATGTTCGGGTTTCCAGGAGGGACTACCTGTTTATTGTCTTTGCAGGAAGAAGAAAACACCTGAGTGACCAGATGTCTCAGCTCCCGGTGCCTTGCCAGAGCCACACCTCTCAAAGAGTGACAGGTGCCAGTGGTATGGGAGAAGGACACGCATTTTCTTTTCTTTTTCTTTTTTTTTTTTTTTTTGAGACAGGGTCTCACTGTTGCCCAGGCTGTAGTGCAGTGGCACGATCTCAGCTCACTGCCATCTCCGCCTCCCGGGGTCAAACAGCCCCTTGGCCAGTCCTGTTAAACTCTCTGCTTTTTTGCCTTGCAGTCCTGTGAGGCATGGTTTCCGCAGACCTGAAATGACTGGAACCCCAAAGACTCAAGAAGCAGCTAACAGTCTTGAAGTAGACATGAGCGAAACACAAGGTATATGGCACTAAACAGTGCATGGGAAAGAGGAAGGGGCACATTGATTCCACAAAGACTCTTTGCAGAGGAGTCTGGATCTAAAAAGATGTAACCATTCCTTGCCTGTCCCTGCTGACCCTCACCCCACCTTTTTTTTTTTTTTTTGAGACAGGGTCTTGTTCC